AATTTTAAACCGCCAATCCAATTTACATCCATCCGCCAATCCGCTTAATACACATCCACCGGATTGGCAAACAGATATGGATTGATTTTCTCCAATTCGCCAATCTGGCAGACGAATGGCGGATTGGAGGTTCCGTGACAGCAACTGACTCACGCCCACCTCTAGCTAGGAGCACATTAGTTTGTTTAGCAGCAAATCTAAAAGTAAACCAATCCCTAAAACTTCATTTGGAATAGTTGGTGACAAAAAAAAAAAAAATCATTAATTAAATTTGACTTTGAAATGAAATAATAGAAATAATTGATATTTCTCTTCATTTAAGGACTAATTTTTGTTAAAAATTCAAAAAACAAATTTTTGCCTCAAAATTTTAAAAATGTTGTTAATAAATACACTTTAAGAGAAAACAATTTGATGCATAAGATGTTCACATTTAGACAAATTTTGGTCAAAAAACGATAATAATTTATCAGTAAATATGTAATTTCATCGTTAAATATACAACAATGATACTTTTGACAATTTAAATATTTTTTTCTTAAAAATTAATTTTATTCATAATTTTTTATTTTTAAAATCCTAATTTGTTGGAATGATTTCATGCTTGCCACTGTGTGACCAACAATTTGGTGATTTTTTCAAGGATTAACAATTTGGATTTTTATTGAAAAGACCCTAGCACTGTTTGATTGTATTCCTAATGCATTTTATAAAAACTAGATATAATGGATTAAAGAAAATAAAAAGTGTATAGATAAAGCATACCTTTTCATTAAACAAAAATTGTGCCTAGGTAGAAGAATTTCCTTCTGATGTTGACATCTTCTCCACTTTGGGGTAGAAGCTTATGAGCTTGGGTAGATTCTGGAGACACAAATATTTCAACTAACTGAAATTAATTGCCTAACTTGAGAGTTCATCTTCATATTTTTCCTCTTCAATTCCAACTATTGCTTCCATCATCGCACAATCAAATATTTGTAGTCTCTGGAGTCGTGGAAATCCTCTTGCACAGGACAGGGAGAAGAGATATTCCAACCTACAATCTTTAATTGTTGTTTTAATTTACAAGACTTTGAATTAGTTCTATAAAAATGATATCCCTTACCCACTAATATTTTAAATCTTATCAAGTTTTCAAAGAAGAATTCCTTGGGCAATAGCATGACATTTGGTATGTGAATCTATAAAGTGGTTAATTGCATTAATTTCCTCAATTCATCAAGATTCACTTTGCTTCTTTCCTCCCTAAACACACGCACATCATGTAAAATGTATAATTCTTCCAGGCGAGACAAATTGGACATGACACCTTGTGGAATCTCTGTGAGCTATTCACAATTTCCCAGATCTAACAACTGAAGGCGAGTCAATTGTCCTATCTCTAATGGAAAACCTCGATATTAGAACCTCAAAGGCTAAGTATTTTAAGGTTATTATTTAGATCCTTGAGTATAGCTATGTCTTACAACAAACTAACAATAACATCCGAAGGTTAACCAAATTTGCAATAGATAATGGAGGCAACATGCAGATTCCATTCAATTCTAAAATTGTAAGTTTCTCCATTCCACTGAAAAACCTATCTGGAACATTAAGCAAAGGACTGATATCCCATTCCTGTAGTATGGTCAAGGTGTGGAGTTGTGCACATACCAAATCACCCGAAAGCTCAGCAGTGTTGTCGAACCTTAATGTGATTGCTGAGTAAGATTCGCACGTATCTTTCTCGGGCCACTCTTTGACACCATGTTTTCCTTTCCATCATCTTTTACAATTGAAAGAGCAACATCTCGAATGACATCATCATGCATTTTGACAAAGTTTTCATCTTTGCCTTCTAATAACAAACAAGCATCTTTGAGGATATCAACCACTGTAAGTAATTGACGGCTTGCTCTCATTAGTGTATTTTTGTTTTGTCCAAGCAAACTTCTCATTATGGAGTGTCTCGCCAACACTTCAATTGAAATATTAACATCTTCAAGAAAGAAACAACATAGCAAGAAGCATGATTTTGCATCACTAGATTCTAACCGATCATAGCTTAACTTTAAGGAAGCATATTTTTGTTCACAAAGCCATTCATTCCACCAAAGTCCCACATTGTTCTCTACTTAAGATACTAATCTAGTCATCATGTTTTAAGTTGGTCATGTTTTAAGTTTGTTCTACCAAGGTCTTGTTTCGTTCTTTGTTATGTTGTTTTATATTTTTGTAATTTTGTTCGGTTTTGACTATCTCTCATTTACTTCTTTCTCGAAGACTGTATTTGGTTTATGAATTTGGAAAGTGATTTAAAAAACTAGGGAAAAACTAGGTGAAATGTTCGGTTTGACTATCTCTCATTTTACCTACATTTCACATACATTTTCACTTTCCTTTTCCAAAATTTTCTCCAAATTTATAAACCAAACATAGCCTAAAGCAATAAAATGGTGGTATTATTTTTGTTTCACACACCAAAAAAAAAAAAAAAGGAAAATATTATATGAACTATGACAACTTAACTTAGGGATAAAATTAAAATTTGTATAATTTTTTTATGAAAATTCAAAATTTGGAAAATTCAAAATTCCAAATTCAAAATTTTTTTATGAAAATATTATATGAACCATTTTATTTTTTCAAGTTTTTAGATAGTAATATTGAAGCAAATGCCAAAGTATTAAAAAGGAAAATATTAAAGTCTCAAAATAAATAAGCATTATTAATATTTTTTCAAGTTTTTAGATAGTAATTTTCAAGCAAATGTCAAAGTATTAAATTGGAAAGATTCCAAAATAATACACATTATCAATACATGGCCAACAAGGATGCCTTTCGGGCTGTGGGAGTGCACCACGGGTCACGTTTTGATGAGTTAAATTTTTCATTTTGTAAAGTCCTTAGTGTATATCATCTAAAAAAAAAAAGATCGATTCAATAATCTTAGCCTATTTAATTTATTACAATTGTATCTAAAAAAATGAATGACAAGTGTGTTAAAAAATTTAAAAAAATAAAAACAAAAAAATAAAAAAAAAATCATCCTTTTGTTTAATGACAAACATGATAAATTGCAAAAAACTAAAATTATCAAATTGATTTAATTTTTTTTTGGATGATATAAACGAAAAATCCAAAAAAATGCACGGTTCAAATAATTAAAAAGGGACTCATAGTGGGCCCACGGGGCTGAACAATACATTTGAATGTAGATCATGGACATGAGAGAAGCCTAATCTAAGTAAAAATACATACAAACATACATATACATATACATATATATACATTTGTGTTTCTGGTTTTACAGGTCATGTGCAACAAAAAAGGATGAGGACATTCATACCAGGCTAGTGAAGAGGGTTTGTGTTTCAGATCTAGAGGTGAAAAAGCTTTTAAGGCTCTGCAAATCTCCAAGTTTCAACCTTGTTAGTTGAGGGAATGAGACAGTATTATTGTTGTTTTTTTCTTTTTCTTCTTCTTCCCCCACATTCTTCAATACTATTACTTTCAGCTCTCGATAAAATTACATTAAGTTTTTCTAGTTTCAATAATTGTCGAGGGCATATTGGACGAACCAACATTCACCAATTCCTCATAGCACAAGATGTCCACGTCTCTCAATTGTCAAAAGGACTTTGATGGAAGTAATTTCTTATCCCATATCTCTGTTATCTTTGTTAGTCCAGTAATATACAATGTCTCCAAGGCAGGGAATGTAACTTGAAACATTCATAACAAAATTGTTAAACATTAGACTCCAATGTCAGCATTATAACAAGCAGTACAATGTAGCCCAATAAATGGATGTTACTCTTAATTAGTCAATCATTTAAGTCCAATGAATTGAATTTACTATGCTCCACTAAATGCCAAAACTTAAATTGTTGGTTCCATAACAATTAATGATTTTGTTTCATGTAACAGAAACTGTAATAGATTGGAAGTAATTAATCTTTTTGCTGCATTAGAGCAACCTTTTGTTCTCATTGTGCAATTGGTGCAGTGCACGAGTTGGTTTGATTGTTTTGACAGCAAATCATTAATTGAACATATTAAGAAAACTTCAACCAACTATAAATCCACCATTTCTCAAAATTGATGGGTTTGACAGATTAAAAGTAGAAAATGAGAGAAAACTAGGTTTCACATTATTTTCACATTTCATCGTGATTTTTTCTATTTGACTTTGATAATCTATATTATGTGATTTTATAAAACGGAACCGCGTGTCTCCAGTTAAAATTTCAACTGAACCAGACAATTGAGATCTCTTACCGGCAACAGTCATTAAACAGAGGTCTCTTACCGCTAAGAGTTTATGAAAACATTAACTAAACCAAAAGTTAAAATAACGGGCCAATGCATTTCATGAACTCTTACAGGTAAGATACCTTTGTTTAATTACTTTTATCGATAAGAGACCTTAACTATCTGTTCCATTTTTCAACTAGAGAAAAGCCAAATCCCATATAAAAAAACACACCATTTAAGGTTTATTTAAAACTTTGAATTTTACTATTTTATTTTTTCAAATTTTTAGATAGTAATATTCAAGAAAATGTCCACGTATTAAATTGGAAAATATGAAAGATTCAAAATAAATACACATGATCAATACATGGCCAACAAGGGTGCCTTTCGGGCCATGAGAGTCCACCATGAGTCACGTTTTAATAATTTAAAATTTTCATTTTGTAAACTCCTTAGTGTATATCATCAAAAATAAAAATAAAAAAAGGATCGATTCAATAATCTTAGCCAATTTAATTTATTACAATTGTATCTAAAAAAATGAATAATGAGTGTGTTGGAAAAACGACCATCCTTTTGTTTAATGACAAACACGATAAATTGAAAAGGCTAAAATTATCAAATTGATTTAATTTTTTTCAGGATTATATAAACGAAGAATCCTAAAAAGTGCACGGTTTCAATAATTAAAATGGGACTCGTAGTGGGCCCAAGGGCCAGAACAACACATTTGAATATAGATTATGGAGAGGAGAAAAGCCTAATCTAAGAAAAAATACATACAAACAAACATACATAGACATATATGTATATATACACACGTGTTTCTGGTTTTAGAGGTCATCTGCAACAAAAAAAATGATGAGAACATTCATACCTGGCTAATGAAGAGGGATTGTGTTTCGGATCTAGAAGTTTTCGAGGCTCCGCAAATCTTCAAGTCTCAAACTCGTTAGTTGAGGGAACGAGATGGTATAATTGTTGTTTTCTGCTTTTCCTTCTTCTTCCCCCCCAATCTTCAATACTATTACTTTCAGCTCTCGACAACACCTAACATTAAGTTATTCTAGCTTCGGTAATCGTTAGGCATATTGGACTAACCAACATTCACTAGTTTCTCACAGCGCAAGATGACCAGGTCTCTCAATTGTCGAAAGGACTCTGATGGAACTAAATTCCTATGCCATATCTCTGTTATCTTTGTTAGTCCAGTAATATACAATGTCTCCAAGGCAGGGAATGTAACCTGCAATATTCGTAACATAATTGTTAAACATTAGACTCCAAGGTCAGCATTATAACAAGTAGTACAATGCAGCCCAATAAATTGACGTTACTCTTAATTAGTCAATCATTTAAGTCTAATAAATTGGTTCTACTATGCTCTATTTAATGCCAAAACTTAAATTGTTGTCTCCATAAGAATTAATGATTTTCTTTTCATGTAATGGAAACTATAATAGATTGGAAGTAATAAATCTTTTTGTTACATTAGTGCAACCTTTTGTCCTCCTTGTGCAATAGGTTTTGTGCACGTGTTGGTTTGAATGTTTTGATAGCAAATCATCAATTGAACAGATTAAGAAAATTTCAACCCACTATAAATCCAGTCTTTCTCAAAATTGATTGGTTTGGCAGATTAAAATTACAAAATGGGAGAAAATCAGGCTTTACACTATTTTCACATTTCATCGTGGTTTTTTCTATTTGAGTTTGATAATCTGTGTTCCGTGATTTTAGAAAATGGAATAGCTTGTCTCGAGTTGAAATTTCAACTGGACCAGGCAATTGAGATCTCTTACCAGTAAAAGTAATTAAAAAAAGTCTCTTACCACTAAGAGTTTACGAAAAGATTTAACTAAACCAAGAGCTAAAATAATGAGCCAATGCATTTCATAAACTCTTACTAGTAAGCGACCTCCGTTTAATGACTCTTATCAGTAAGAGACCTTAGCAGTCAAATCCATTTCATCTTTCGACAAGAGAAAAGCCAAATTCCCTTACAAAAACATGCCATTTGAGGTTTATCTAAAACCTTGAATTTTGCGGTTTTATTTTTTCAAGTTTTTAGATAGTAATATTTAAGCAAATGTCAAAGTATTAAATTGGAAAATATGAAAGATTCAAAATAAATACACATTATCAATAAATGACCAACAAGGGTGCCTTTCGGGCCGTGGGAGTCCACTATGAGTCATGTTTTGATCATTTAAAATTTTCATTTGCAAATTCCTCAGTGTATATCATCTAGAAAAAACATCAATCCAATAATCTTAGCCTATTTAATTTGTTACAATTGTATCTAAAAAAATGATTGATAAGTGTGTTGAAAAAAAAACATCCTTTTGTTAAATGACAAACACGATAAATAGAAAAGGCTAAAATTATCGAATTGATTTAATTTTTTTCAGGATTATATAAACGAAGAATCCTAAAAAAATGCATGGTTTGAATAATTCAAATGGGACTTCTAGTGGGCCCAAGTGCCAGAACAACACATTTGAATATAGATTATGGATAGGAGAAAAGCCTAATCTAAGAAAAAACACATACAACTATACATAACATTCATACATGTACATATATGTATATATACACGTGTTTCTGGTTTTACAAGTCATCGGCAACAAAAAAGGATGAGGACATTCATACCTGGCTAGTGAAGAGGGATTGTGTTTCGGATCTAGAGGTGAAAAAGCTTTCGAGGCTCTGCAAATCTTCAAGTTTCAAACTCGTTAGTTGAGGGAACGAGATGGTATTATTGTTGTTTTCTTCTTTTTCTTCTTCTTCCCCCATATTCTTCAATATTATTACTTTCAGCTCTTGACAACACCTAACATTAAGTTGTTGTAGTTTCGGTACTTGTTGAGGCATATAGGACGAACCGACATTCACCAGTTTATCACAGCGCAAGATGTCCACGTCTCTTAATTGTCGGAAGGACTCTGATGGAAGTAATTTTCTATCCCATATCTCAATTATCTTTGATAGTCCATCAATATACAATTTCTTCAAGGCAGGGAATGTAACCTACAACATTGATAACATAATTGTTATCATTAGACTCCAAGGTCGGCATTATAACAAGCAGTACAATGTAGCCCAATAAATTGATGTTACTCTTAATTAGTCAATCATTTAAGTCCAATAAATTGATTTTACTATGTCCCAATTAATGCCAAAACTAAAATTGTCAGTTCCATAACAATTAATGATTTTGTTTCATGTAATGGAAACTATTATAGATTGGAAGTAACAAATCTTTTTGTTGCATTAGTGCAATCTTTTGTCCTCATTGTCCAGTAGGTGTTGTGCAGGAGTTCGTTTGATTTTTTTTTTATAGCAAACCATCAATTTAACATATTAAGAAAATTTCTACCCGCCATACACCCACCCTTCCTCAAAATTGATGGGTTCGACGGATTAAAAGTACAAAATGAGAGAAAATAAGGCTTCACATTATTTTCACATTTCATCATGATTTTTTCTATTTTACTTTGATAAACTGTGTTCTGTGATTTTATAAAAAGGAATCGCTTGTCTCCGGTTGAAATTTCAAATGGACCAGAAAATTGAGGTCTCTTACTTCTAAATGTCATTAAACGGAGGTCTCTTATCACTAAGAGTTTATGGAAACATTTTTTCTAATCCAAGAGTTAAAATAATGAACCAATGCATTTCATAAACTCTTACTGGTAAGAGGCCTTATCGGTAAGAGACCTGAACTGTCTGTTCCAGTTGAACTTTCAGCTAGAGAAAGCCAAATTCCCTTTGAAAAACACAACATTTGCAGTTTATCTAAAACCTTGAATTTTACTATTTTATTTTTTCAAGTTTTAAGATAGTAATATTCAAAAAAATGTCAAAGTATTAAATTGAAAGTATGAAAGAATCAATATAAATACACATTATCAATACATGGCCAACAAGGGTGCCTTTCCGGCCCTGGGAGTTAACCATGGGTCACATTTTGATGATTTAAAATTTTCATTTTGTAAAGTCCTTACTGTATATCATCTAAAAAAATAAAGATTGATCCAATAATCTGAGCCTATTTAATTTATTACAATTGTATCTAAAAAAATGAATGATAAGTGTGTTTAAAAAAAATTAATTTAAAAAAAATCCTTTTGTTTAATGACAAACACGAACATGCTAAAATTATCAAATTGATTTTTTTTTTTTTCAAAATGAAGAATCCTAAAAAATGCACAGTTTGAATAATTAAAATGGGACTAGTAGTGGGCCCACGGGCCCGAATAACACATTTGAATGTAGATTATTGACAGGACGGAAGCCTAATCTAAGTAAAATACATACAAACATACATACATATACATATATGTATATGTACATATGTGTTTCTGGTTTTACAGGTCATGTGCAACAAAAACTGATGAGGCCATTCATACCTGGCTAGTGAAGAGGGATTGAGTTTCAAATCTAGATGTGAAAAAGCTTTTGAGGCTTTGCAAATCTTCAAGGGTCAAACTCGTTAGTTGAGGGAACGAGATGGTATTATTGTCGTTTTCTGCATTTTCTTCTTCTTCCCTCTCATTCTTCAATACTATTGCTTTCAGCTTTCGACAAAACCAAACATTAAGTTTTTCTAGTTTCGGTAATTTTTGAGGCATATTGGATGAACCGACATTCACCAATTTCTCACAGCACAAGATGTCCACGTCTCTCAATTGTCGAAAGGACTCTGATGGAACTAATTTCCTATCCCATATCTCTGTTATCTTTGTAAGTCCAATAATATACAATTTCTGCAAGGCAGGGAATGTAACCTGTAATATTCATGACATAATTGTTAAACATTGGACTCCATGGTTAGCATTGAAACAGGCAATACAATGTAGCTCAAGAAATTGATGTAACTCTTAATTAGTTAATCATTTAAGTCCAATAAATTGATGTTACTATGTTCCACTTAATGCCAAAACTTAAATTGTTGTTTCCATAACAATTATTGATTTTGTTTCATGTAATGGAAACTATAATAGATTGGAAGTAACAAATCTTTTTGTCACATTAGTGCAACCTTTTGTCCCCATTGTGCAATAGGTGTTGTGCTTGAGTTCGTTTGATTGTTTTGACAGCAAATCATCAATTGAACATATTAGGAAAAATTTACCCGACTACAAATCCACTCTTTCTCAAAATCGATGGGTTTCGCAGATTAAAACTACAAAATGAGAGATAATTAGGATTTACATTATTTTCACATTTCACCTTGATTTTTTCTATTTGACTTTGCTAATCTGTGCTCTGTGATTTTAGAAAAGGGAATTGCTTATCTCCAGTTGAAGTTTCAACTGGACCAGACAGTTGAGATCTCTTACCGATAAAAGTCATTACACGGAGGTCTCTTTCCGCTAAGAGTTTATGAAAAGATTTCACTAAACCAAAAGTTAAAATAATGAGCCAATGCATTTCATAAAGTCTTACTGGTAAGCGACCTCCATTTAATGACTCTTATCGTCAAGAGACCTTAACTGTCTATTCCATTTGATCTTTCAACTAGAGAAAAGCCAAATTCCCTTATAAAAACACGCTATTTGAGGTTTATCTAAAAACTTGAATTTTACTATTTTATTTTTTTCAAGTTTTTAGAATGTAATATTCAAGCAAATGTCAAAGTATTAAATTGGAAAATATAAAAGATTCAAAATAAATGCACATTATCGATACATGGCCAACAAGGGTGCCTTTCGTGCCGTGGGAGTCCACCATGGGTCATGTTTTGATGATTTAAATTTTTCATTTTCTAAAGTCCTTAATGTATATCATCCAGAAAAAAGATCGATCCAATAATCTTAGCCTATTTAATTTATTACAATTGTATTTAAAAAAATGAATGATAAGTGTGTTGGGAAAAAAAATCCTTTTGTTTAATGACAAACACGATAAATTGAAAAGCCTAAACTTATTGAATTGATTTAATTTTTTTCAGGATTATATATACCAGGAATCCTAAAAAATGCACTATTTGAGTAATTAAAATGAGACTCGTAGTGGGCCCAAGGGCCAGAAGAGCACATTTGAGTATAGATTATGGATAGGAGAAAAGCCTAATCTAAGTAAAAATACATACAAACATATACATATATGTATATATACACATGTGTTTTTGGTTTAATAGGTCATGTGCAACAAAAAAGGATGTGGACATTCATACCTGGCTAGTGAAGAGGGATTGTGTTTCGGATTTAGAGGTGAAAAAGCTTTCGAGGCTCTGCAAATCTTTAAGTCTCAAACTCCTTAGTTTAGGGAACGAGATGGTATTATTGTTGTTTTCTGCTTTTCCTTCTTCTTCCATCCCAATCTTCAATACTATTACTTTCAGCTCTCGACAACACCTAACATTAAGTTGTTGTAGTTTTGGTAATTGTCGGGACATATAGAACGAACCGACATTCACCAATTTCTCACAACGTAAGATGTCCACACCTCTCAATTGTCGGAAGGACTCTGATGGAAGTAATTTCGTATCCCATATCTCTATTATCTTTGTTAGTCCATCAATATACAATGTCTTCAAGGCAGGGAATGTAACCTGCAACATTGATAACATAATTGTTAAACATTAGACTCCAAGGTCAGCATTATAACAAGCAGTACAATGTAGCCCAATAAATTGATGTTACTCTTAATTAGTCAATCATTTAAGTCCAATAAATTGATTTTACTATGTTCCAATTAATGCCAAAACTAAAACTGTAGGTTCCATAAAAATTAATGATTTTGTTTCATGTAATGGAAACTATTGTAGATTGGAAGTAATAAATCTTTTTGTTGCATTAGTGCAACCTTTTGTCCTCATCGTGCAGTAGGTGTTGTGCACGAGTTGGTTTGATTTTTTTGACAGCAAATCATCAATTGAACATATTAAGTAAATTTCTACCCGCCATAAATCCACCCTTTCTCAAAATTAATAGATTCAACAAATTAAAAGTACAAAATGAGAGAAAATCAGGCCTCACATTATTTTCACATTTCATTGTGATTTTTTCTATTTGACTTTGATAATCTGTAAACTATGATTTTATAAAATAGAATCGCTTGTCTCTAGTTGAAATTTCAACTGGACTAGAAAATTGAGATCTCTTACCAATAAATGTCATTAAACGGGGGTCTCTAATCACTAAGAGTTTATGAAAACATTTAACTAAACCAAGAGCTAAAATAATGAGCCAATGCATTTCATAAACTCTTACTGGTAAGAGGCCTTCATTTAATGACTCTTATCGGTAAGAGACCTGGACTGTCTGTTCCATTTGAACTTTCAACTAGAGAAAAGCTAAATTCCCTTATAAAAACACACCATTTGAGGTTTATCTAAAACCTTGAATTTTACTATTTTATTTTTTCAAAGTTTTAGATAGTAATATTCAAGCAAATGTCAAAGTATTAAATTGAAAATATGAAAGATTCAATATAAATGCACAATATCAATACATGCCCAACAAGGGTGCCTTTCGGGCCTTGGGAGCCCACCATGGGTCATGTTTTGATGATTTGAAATTTTCATTTTGTAAAGTCCTTAGTGTATATCATCTAAAAAAAAAAAAGATTGATCCAATAATCTAAACCTATTTAATTTATTACAATTGTATCTAAAGAAATGAATGATAAGTGTTATTTTTTTTTTTTTTTAAAAAAAACTATCCTTTTGTTTAATGACAAACACACTAAATTGAAAAGGCTAAAATTACCAAATTGATTTAATATTTTTTTGCGGATGACATAAATGAGGAATCCTAAAACATGCACAATTCGAATAATTAAAATGGGACTCGTAGTGGGCCCACGGCCCCAAATAACACATTTGAATGTAGATTGTTGATAGGAGGGAAGCCTAATATAAGTAAAATACATACATACATATATACATGTATGTATATATACATTTGTGTTTCTGGTTTTACAGGTGACGTGCAACAAACAACGATGAGGACGTTCATACCTGGCCAGTGAAAAGGGATTGTGTTTCGGATCTGGAGGTCAAAAAGCTTTCGAGGCTCTGCAAATCTTTAAGTTTCAAACGTGTTAGTTGAGGGAACGAGATGGTATTATTGTTGTTTTCAGCTTTTTCTTCTTGTTCCCCCCTATTCTTCAATGCTATTACTTTCAGCTCTCGACAAAAACTAACATTAAGTTGTTTTAGTTTCGGTAATTGTCGAGGAATATTGGACGAACCAACATTCACCAGTTTCTCACAGTGCAAGATGTCCACGTCTTTCAATTGTCGAAAGGACTCTGATGGAATTAATTTCCTATCCCATATCTCTGTTATCTTTGTAAGTCCAATAATATACAATTTCTTCAAGGCAGGGAATGTAACCTGCAATATTCATGACATAATTGTTAAACATTAGACTCCAAGGTCAACATTAAAACAAGAAGTACAATGTAGCCCAATAAATTGATCTTACTCTTAATTATTCAATCATTTAAGTCCAATAAATTGATGTTACTATGTTCCCCTTAATGCCAAAACTTAAATTGTTGGTTCCATAACAATTAATTATTTTGTTTCATGTAATGGAAACTATAATAGATTGGAAGTAATAAATCTTTTTTGTTGCATTAGTGCAACCTTTTGTCCTCATTGTGCAATAGGTGTTGTGCTCAAGTTTGTTTGATTGTTTTGGCAGCAAATCATCTATTGAACATATTAGGAAAATTTTAACCCACTATAAATCCACTCTTTCTCAAAATTGCTGGGTTTGGAAGAATAAAATTACAAAATTAGAGAAAATTAGACTTCACATTATTTTCACATTTCATCTTGATTTTTTCTATTTGACTTTGATAATCTGTGTTCCGTGATTTTAAAAAAGGGGATTGCTTGTCTCCAGTTGAAATTTCAACTGCACCAGACAGTTGAGATCTCTTACCGGTAAAAGCCATTAAACGAAGGTCTCTTACCACTAAGAGTTTATGAAAAGATTTAAACTAAACCAAGAGTTAAAATAACTGGCCAATGCATTTCATAAACTCTTACGGGTAAGCAACCCCCGTTTGATGACTTTTATTGGTAAGAGACCTTAACTGTTTGTTCCATTTGATCTTTCAACTAGAGAAAAGCCAAATTCCCTTATAAAAACACGCCATTTGAGGTTTATCTAAAATCTTGAATTTTACTATTTCATTTTTTCAAGTTTTTAGATTGTAATATTCAAACAAATATCAAAGTATTAAATTGGAAAATATGAAAGATTCAAAATAAATACACATTATTAATACATGGCTAACAAGGGTGCCTTTCGGGCCGTGGAAGTCCACCATGGGTTACGTTTTGATGATTTGAAATTTTCATTATGTAAAGTCTTTAGTGTATATCATCTAGAAAAAAGATCGATCTAATAGTCTAGCCTATTTAATTTTACAATTGTATCTAAAAAAATGAATGATAAATGTGTTGAAAAAACAAACACCATCCTTTTGTTTAATGAGAAACACGATAAATTGAAAAGCCAAAAATTATCGAATTGATTTAATTTTTTTCGGGATGATATAAACAAAGAATCCTAAAAAATGCACGGTTTGAATAATTAAAATGGGACTCATAGTGCGCCCAATGGCCCAAACAACACATTTGATTATAGATTATGGATAGGAGAAAAGCCTAATCTAAGTAAAAATACATACAAACATACATACATATACATATAGGTATATATCGACATGTGTTTCTGGTTTTACAGGTCATGTGCAACAAAAAAGGATGAGGATATTCATACCTGGCTAGTGAAGAGGGATTGTGTTTCGAATCTTGAGGTGAAAAAGCTTTCAAGGCTCTGTAACTCGTCAAGTTTCAAACTCGTTAGTTGAGGGAACGAGATGGTATTATTGTTGTTTTCTTCTTTTTCTTCTTCTTCCCCCCAATCGTTCAATACTATCACTTTCAGCTCTTGACAAAAGCAAACATAAAGTTGTTGTAGTTTCGGCAATTGTCGGGGCATATAGGACGAACCAACATTCACCAGTTTCTCACAGCGCAAGATGTCCACGTGTCTCAATTGTCGAAAGGACTCTGATGGAAGTAATTTCGTATCCCATATCTCTGTTATCTTTGTTAGTCCAGCAATATACAATGCCTTCAAGGCAGGAAATGTAACCTGTAACATTGATAACATAATTGTTAAACATTAGACTCCAAGGTCAACATTATAACAAGCAATACAACGTAGCCCAATAAATTGATGTTAATCTTAATTAGTCAATCATTTAAGTCCAATAAATTGATTTTACTATGTTCCAATTAATGCCAAGACTTAAATTGTTGTTTCCATAACAATTATTGATTTTGTCTCATCTTATAGAAACTATGATAGATTGGAAGTAATAAATCTTTTTGTTGCATTACTGCAACCTTTTGTCCTCATTGTGCAATAGGTGTTGTGCACAAGTTGGTTTGATTGTTTTGACAGCAAATAATCAATTTAACAGATTAAAAAATTTCAACCCACCCTAAATCCACCCTTTCTCAAAATTGATGGGTTTGACAGATTGAAAGTACAAAATGAGAGAAAATTAGGATTCGCATTATTTTCATATTTCATCGTGATTTTTTCTATTAAACTTTGATAATCTGTGTTCTATGAATTTATAAAAGGTAATCGCTTGTCTCCAGTTGAAATTTCCACTTGACAAGACAGTTTAGATCTCTTGCCGATAAAAGTCATTAAATGAAGGTTTCTTCCCGTTAAGAGTTTATGAAAAATTTAACTAAACCAAGAGTTAAAATAATGGGCCAGTACATTTCATAAACTATTAATGGTTGGAGGCCTTCATTTAATGACTCTTATCGAAAAGAGATCTGAACTGTCTATTCCATTTGAACTTTCAACTAGAGAAAAGCTAAATTCCCTTATAAAAACACACCATTTGAGGTTTATCTAAAACCTTGAATTTTACTATTTTATTTTTTCAAGTTTTTAGATAGTAATATTCAAGCAAATGTCAAAGTATTAAATTGAAAAGTATGAAAGATTCAATATAAATATACATTATCGATACATGTCCAACAAGGGTGCCTTTCGGGCCCTGGGAGTCCACCATGGGTCATGTTTTAATGATTTAAAATTTTCATTTTGTAAAGTCCTTAGGCCATGTTTGTTTGGGTGGACATGAGCTTGGGATTGGACTAATAGTCCAATAAAATTATTAATCCGATGTTTGGTTAAACAATTGAAGTACGGATTAATTATTTTAAACTTGACTATTAGTTAAGATAGGATACATAATCCAATGGATTCGTAGTCTTAGGACTATTAGTCATGGGAATGCTAATCCAGTCCGCCCAAACAAACATGGCCTTCATGTATATCATCTATAAAATAAAATAATAAAAAAAAGATTGATCCAATAATTTGAGCCTATTTAATTTATTACAATTGTATCTAAAAAAATGAACCATAAGTGTGTTCGGGAAAAAAATAAAAATAAAAATTAAAAAAACCATCCTTCTACTTAATGACAAACACGATAAATTGGAAAAGGCTAAAATTATCAAATTGATTTAATTTTTTTTGCAGATGATATAATTGAAGAATCCTAAAAAATGCATGGTTTGAATAATTAAAATGAGACTCGTAGTGGGCCCACGGGCTCGAATAACACATTTGAATGTAGATTATTGTTAGGAGGGAAGACTAATCTAGGTAAAATACATACAAACATACATACATATACATATATGTATATATACATTTGTGTTTCTGGTCTTACAGGTCATGTGCAACAAAAACTGATGAGGACATTCATACCTGGCTGAAGAGGGATTGTGCTTCAGATCTAGAGGTGAAAAAGCTTTTGAGGCTCTGCAAATCTTCAAGTCTCAAACTCGTTAGTTGAGGGAATGAGATGGTATTATTGTTGTTTTTAGCTTTTTCTTCTTCTGCCCCCCCATTCTTCAATACTATTACTTTCAGCTCTCGACAAAAACTGACATTAAGTTTTTCTAGTTTTGGTAATTGTCGCGGCATATTAAACGAACCGACATTCACTAGTTTCTCACAGCGCAAGATGTCCACGTCTCTCAATTGTCGAAAGAACTCTAATAGAAGTAATTTCCTATCCCATATCTCTGTTATCTTTGTTAGTCCAATAATATACAATGTCTCCAAGGCAGGGAATGTAACCTGCAACATTCATAACACAATTGTTAAACATTAGACTCCAAGGTCAGCATTATAACAACAGTACAATGTATCCCAATAAATTAATGTTAGTCTTAATTAGTCAATCATTTTAAGTCCAATAAATTGATTTTACTATGTTCCACTTAATGCCAAAACTTAAATTGTTGGTTCCATAACAATTAATGATTATTCACCCAAAAACAATTAATGATTTTGTTTCATGTAATAGAAACTATAATAGATTGGAAGTAATATATCTTTTTGTTGCATTAATGCAACCTTTTGTCCTCATTGTGCAATAGGTGTTGTGCACGCGTTGCTTTGATTGGTTTGACAGCAAATCAACAATTGAACATATTAAGAAATTTTCAACCCACCATAAATCCACCCTTTCTCAAAATTGATTGTTCGACAAATTAAAAGTACAAAATGAGGGAAAATCAGGCTTCACATTATGTTCACATTTCATCGTGATTTTTTCTATTTGGCTTTGATAATCTGTGTTCTATATGATTTTATAAAAGGGAATCGCTTGTCTCCAGTTGAACAGTTGAGATCTCTTACCAATAAAAGTCATTAAACAGAGGTTTCTTCCCTCTAAGAGTTTAAGAAAAATTTAACTAAACAAAGAGTTAAAATTTGATAAACCCTTACTGGTAAGAGACCTCCGTTTAATGACTCTTATCAGTATGCGACCTTAACTGTCTGTTCCATTTGAAGTTTCAACTAGAGAAAAGCCAAGTCCCTTATAAAAACACACCATTTGAGGTTTACTGAAAATACAGATTGTCCCATGTGATCTCAGAAATTGCATGTTGCTCCTTTAAGTTTCCAGTCATATAACAAATCGCTCTTTCCATTAATAAATCAAGTCAATTAATATTTTTAATAATGGCATAAATATATTTCAATTAACAATTCAAGTAATTTTAGTGTTATATAAGAGAGTAATTAGAAATTTTATTTTTTCTAATAATTCAGTTAAACAAAAAATTCTAACAATGGAGTATTTATAATTTCTAAAACCATAAAGAGTAATTTATATTTTAAGCAAATATCAAGGTGTGTATTTATAATTTACCCAACTTTTAAATTGAGAAAATCATGTGATATGTGTAAGTATTTGACCTATGGAAAAGAAAAAAAAATTAAAATTAATCATCACGTGCCTTTGCTAGTAAGGTTTTTATTGTGTAGGCTTTTCAGCTCATTTAAGTCAATTGCAATTCTATTTGACCTTCAGTATGGTGTGAAAGTAATAATTTTCCCTATTATGAAACTCTTGTAGAATTTTTATCCATCGAAATAGAAAACCATAGTCGCAAGATTAATCAAAAAATGAAATACAGATGTGTCATAAAATGTAGGTCTCACATCATGTGGACCTCCTATGTTCAAGGATGAATCTAGGATAATCAGTATAGGGGTGCAAATTTGGAGGTGTAAATCCTTATTGTTTTAATTATTTTAGATTTTCTAGCATAATATATGATATTTTTCAGATTTTCGGTGGTGCGGTCGCCTCCCTCCGCACTCCCCCTAGATCCACCCTTGGGACCTCACCTCATGTGAGATATCTATATTATATTATGTGTTTAGTTTTTGTGTTTTTCATATTGATATTGCAAGATTGGCCCCTAATAAATGTAACACTAAAGTAAAATTAATTGAGCTTTAAGTTGTTATTGATTAATTGCTAGTAACAACTCAAGCCAGCATGCATAATCCATCAATTAATGCAGTTTTTAAATTGGATCAATGGTTGGGATTGAACTTCCAAGAAGTTTCGTAAGATGTTTTGGGTAGGGGCAAGTAACATTTTGATAATGGCATGGTTGTGGGAATTAATCTCTGACCTTCTCTAATTGGCAATGTTATTGATTCAAAAATCTATATCTGTGGGAGGACACACACACACACACACACACACACCTCCAGTTTCCCAACAATTTATCTTCCTCATTGGCCACCAGATAGACATTTCCAATTAGCTTATACGATTCTTCTAGCATCTCCCTTTACCACACAAACAAATCCCTTCTAAACTTTAGATTCCATTGAGGACTTGCATCATGCATGTGGCTTGATTGTTAGCCAATGTACTGCGTGGATGATTGTGATTGGTTAAGATATGATTCTATCACACCATATTCGAGATATTTGTGTAAGTTTTCTAAACACAACTGTATATTAGATTGAACTGATTGACCAAAGAATACATACATCATTTATATAGAGTACCACTAATTCCTAATCCTACATGAATACATCACTGAGATATATAGAAGTCTAATAGATATAAGACACTTATTCCTAATCCTAGGAGAACACATATTCTCACACCCCCGCTCAAACTCAAGGTGTTTTAGCAGAAAACACTAAGAGTTTGTCAAGAAAAAACTGGAACCGAGCAGTGGTGTGAGTCTTAGTGAAGAAGTCAGCAAGTTGCAGAGCCGAAGAGACAAAAGGAAGCGAGATAAGGCCAGACTGCAGATGCTGACGGACGAAGTGACAATCAAGCTCAATATGCTTTGTCCGTTCATGGAAGACAGTGTTATAAGCAATTTGAATAGCACATCGGTTGTCACAATAGAGAGAGGTCGGGGAAGATTGAGGGACGCCCAACTCAGATAAGAGATTACAAAGCCAGACAATTTCAGCACTAGCATGAGCCATAGCACGATACTCAGCTTCGGCAGTAGAACGGGCAACAACAGTCTGTTTCTTGCTTTTCCAAGAAATTAGGAAATCGCCAAGAAACATACAGAAACCAGAAGTAGATTTACGATCATTAACATCACCGACCCAATCAGCATCAGCATAAGCCACCAAATCTAAGGAAGAAGTAGAAGAGAACAGCAAGCCCTGAAAGATAGTACTGCGAAGATAGCGAAGAATCTGAAGCAAAGAAGCCCAATGTGTAGAGTGAGGGGCAGAAACAAACTGACTAATCACATGGACAGCATAGGCAAGATCAGGGCGAGTAACTGTCAGATAGACTAAGCAACCCACAAGCTCGCGATATAACGTAGGATCATCTAGAGGAACCCCATCAGTAGTGTTGAGCTTTACATTAAGCTCAATGGGGGTATCAGACAGCTTAGTGTCAGTAAGTCTAGCATGATGGATAACCTCGTTAGCATACTTAGTCTGGGACAGAAAGTAACCCTTGGGAGAAGAAGCCACCTCAATGCCAAGAAAATACCGCAATGGTCCCAGATCCTTCATTTCGAAGGTGCAAAAAAGATGCTGCTTGACCTCAGAGATAGCAGCAGAGTCAGAGCCAGTGATGATCATATCATCCACATATAGTAAGAGAGCAACAAAACCAGCTGAGGTATGTCTTAGAAATAAAACAGAGTCGGAAGCAGAAGAATAAAACCCAAGCTCGGTAACAGCAGTCTGAAAGCGATCATACCAAGCACGAGGAGACTGCTTCAGACCATATAGAGCATGCCGAAGACGACAGACTTGGCCAGAGGAATAGTGAAGACCAGGGGGAGGACGCATGCAAACCTCCTCAGTGAGATAGCCATTAAGAAAAGCATTCTTAACATCCATATGATAAAGAGGCCAAGAATGAACAGCAGCGACAAAAATCAAAGTACGGACAGTAGTCATCTTGGCAACGGGAGCAAATGTCTCCTCATAATCAATACCATACTCCTGGGAGAAACCTTTGGCCACCAAACGAGCTTTGTAGCACTCAAGAGAACCATTAGAATGAGTCTTGATTTTGTAGACCCATTTGCAACCAACCACATTCTTACCAGCAGGTAAAGGAACCAACTCCCAAGTACTAGCTTTCTGTAGAGCAAACAACTCATCCTCCATAGCTTGAACCCAATGAGGATCCTGACAGGCCTCCTTGTAAGACTGAGGTTCTGCAAAAGAGTGAATAGCAGACAAAAAGGTACGATAGAAAGCAAAAAAACAAGTATTAGACCAACCCAACCTTTTTAGAGGATGACGCACTCGAGGAGGATATTGGTGTGTAGTAGGATCAGAGTCGTCAGAAGCAGGAGGATCAGCAGCATGGGTAAAGACATCTAGTAGAGGAGAAGCCTTGCGACGAGAATAAACTAACAACGGAGGAGAAGGAGGAGAAGACAAATGAGGAGAAGTAGTCAGAGGTGAAGCAGAAGGAGAAGATGGAATAAGCTCAGGAGGAACTGTGGAGATGTACTCATCAAATGGGACCTCAAAAGGAAATGGATCAATATAAACCAAATCCTCTTTGGAAATGGGGCGGTGAGAGGAGGAAACTAAAAGTAAGATAGACATTCGAGAAAGGCAACATGGCGGGAGACATAAAGGCGACAAGAAACAGGGTCATAATAGCGATAACCTTTTTGAGTGAGACTATATCCCAAAAAAACACATAGGACAGACCGGGCACTAAGTTTAGTCCTATCTTTACGGTGTAAAAGGACAAAACACGCAGGCCCAAACACACGAAGGAAAGAGTAATTAGGAAGTTGAGAAAATAGAGCCTCATAAGGAGACCGACCAGAAAGAAGGGGGGTAGGCATACGGTTGAGAAGAAAAGCAGCAGTAAGAACTGCCTCACCCCAAAACGGAGTTGGAACGGAGGCAAAGAGAAGAAGAGACCTAGCTGTTTCAAGAAAATGACGGTGTTTACGCTCAGCTCGGCCATTTTGGGCAGGTGTATTAGTACAAGAAGTTTGGTGAATGGTATCCAAGTTGGCCAAATATTCACAGAATTCAGTTTTAAAGTATTCCCCACCCAAGTCAGACCGCAACAATTTAATAGTAGATCCAAACTGTGTAGTGACCATAGACTGGAAAGTACGATGTATCTGGTAGAAGTTAGACTTATGAGTCATAAGATAAACCCGCGTGTAACGGGTGCAATCATCAACAAAAGACACATAGTATACTGAACCCCCTTTAGTGAGAATAGGAGAGGGTCTCCAGATATCAGTATGCACAAGAGAGAAAGGAGAAACAGAAATAGATGTACTTTTATTAAAAGGTAA